GCACAGTCCTCAGTGCTTAGTCATCAGGGCTCAGTCCTGGGTGCTCAGTCCCGGGTGCTCTGTGCTCAGCCTGGGTACTCGGTGCTCAGTGCTTAGTGCTCAGTCCTGGGTTCTGGGTGCTCGGTGCTCAGTACTCAGTCCCAAGCTCAGACTGGGTGCTCAGTGCTCAGTCTCGTGTGCTCAGTGCTCGGTCATGGATGCTTGGTGCTCAGTCCTGAGTGCTGGGTGCTCAGTTCCTCGTGCTCAGTCCCGGGTGCTCAGGGCTGGGTACTCGGTCCCCAGTGCTCAGTCTCGGGTGCTCGGTGCTCATGCTGGGTGCCTGCGCTCAGATCCGGGTGCTGGGCGCTCAGTCCCAGACGGTCAGTGCTCAGTGCTGGGTGCTCAGTACTGAGTGCTCGGTGCTCAGTCCCCGGTACCCGCGGGAGGCCACGCCCCCTCATTAGCATCCGCACCAAGGCTTGCCCGGTGACGTCATCGCCACGGGGGCGGGGCCCGGAGTCCCCCATCAGCATAAAGCCTCGGTGATGACGTCATCGCCACGGGGGCGGGGCCTCAGGGTCGCGATTTGCATAGAGCGGGGTCAGCGCGTCGTGATTGACAGGTGGGCGGGGCCTGAGGCCCTCATTAGCATAAAGCCGGGTCCCCTGGCTCGTGATGACCATAGGGGCGGGGCCTGAAGTTCTAATTAGCATAAGAGCGGGAGCCTAGTGTTTTAATTTGCATAAGGGCGGGGCCCTCGGCCCTCATTAGCATAAACCAGGGCCTGGGCCTGGAATAAGCGTAGGGGCGGGGCCTAATTAGCACAAAGGTTCGATCGATGACGTCGTCGCCACGGGGGCGGGGCCACGGGGCCCTCATTAGCATAAGACGGGGACCAAGGGTTCGTGATGAGCACAGGGGCGGGGCCCGGCGTCCTGATTGGCACAAAGGCTCCATCGATGACGTAATCGCCACAGGGGCGGGGCCACTGCGTCGTTATTAGCATAGGGCGTGACCTGAGTCCCTCATTAGCATAAAACGGGGACCAAGGGTCCGTGAGTAGCTCAGGGGCGGGGCTACAGGGTCCCGATTTGCATAAAGTGGGGCCAGGACGTTGTGATTGACATGAGGGCGGGGCTTGAGACCCTCATTAGCATAAAGGCGGGAGTTTTGGCTCACAATCAGCTTGTGGGCGGGGTTTGGCGTCCTCATTAGCATAAGGGCGGGGTCTGGGGTCCTCATTAGCATAAAAGCAGGAGCAAGGACTCGTCATTTGCATAAGGGCGGGACCCCAAAGCCCTGATTAGCATAAAACGGGGGAAAGAGCTTGTGATTGGCATAGGGGCGGGGTCTGACCCCCTAATTAGCATAAAATAGGAGCACCCCCTATGTCGTCATTAGCATAAAGGCCTGAGCAATGATGTCATCAGCAGAGGCGGGGTCACAGGCTCTTCATTAGCATAGGGGCGGGGCCCGGGCATCATGAGCTCAGTCTCGGGTGCTCAGTCCCGGGTGCTCAGTCCTCAGTGCTCAGTCCCTGGTGCTCAGTCCTGGGTGCTCGGTGCTCAGTCCCGGGTGCTGGGTACTTGGTGCTCAGTCCCTGGTGCTCGGCGCTCATTCCCGCGTTCCGGGTGCTCGGTGCTCAGTCCTGGGTGCTCGGCCTCGTTAGCATAAAATGCGATTCCAGGGCTCTGATTAGCATAGGGGCGGGGCCTCGGGGACCTCATTAGCATAGAACGGGACCCGGGGGTGTGGTTGACGTGAGGGCGGGGCCGGAGACCCTCATTAGCATAAAAATGGGACCAAGGGTGGGTAATTAGCATAGAGGCGTGGCCTGGGGCCCTAATTAGCATAAAATGAGATCAAGGCATAGGGGCGGGGCTCGGTGTCCTAATTAACATAAGGGCGTGGCCAATGACGCGTCGGCACGGAGGTGGGGTCACGGGGTCACGGGGCCCTAATTAGCATTGGGCGGGGCCGAGTGGTCTGACTGGTATGGGGCGGGGTCTGGGTGCTCAGGCCCGGGTGCCGGGTGCTCAGGCCCGGGTGCTGGGTGCTGAGGTCCAGGTGCTGGGTGCTAAGTCCCAGGTGCTCTGCACTCAAACTGGGTACTCGGTGCTCAGGCCTGGGTGTGGGGTGTTGAGTCCTGGGTGCTGGATGCTGGGTGCTCAGTCCCGGGTGCTCTTGAGGGCCCTGAGAACCCAGGCACAGAACTGAGCCTCAGCACCCGCGGGAAGGACTTTGTCCCCAGCACCACATCAGTGTCCATGAGGGTCTCGGTGCTCAGGCTGAGTGCTTGGAGCTCAGTCCCTGGTGCTCATCACTGGCAATGACGTAATCACCACGTGGGCGGGGCCCCAGGGCCCTGCTTAGCATAAAAGCAGGAGCCCAGGGTCGAAATTAGCATAGGGGCGGGGCCTCAGGGCCTCATTAGCATAAAATGGGATCCCAGACCCGTAATTAGCCTGAGGGCGGGGCCTGCTCAGCTAATTTGCATAAAGCGGGACCAGTGGGTTCCTGATTAGCATAGGGGCGGGTGTCATGGATCCTCATTAGCATGAGGCGGGGTCTGTTCCCTCATTAGCATAAAACTGGGGCCAGCGCATTGATAATTACCATAGGGGCGGGGTCACGGGGTCTTAATTAACATAAAACGGGACCAAGGTCCTGATTAGCATAGGGGCGGGGCCTCGGATCCTAATTAGCATAAAACCGAATCCCGGGAATGTAATGAGCATAGGGGCGGGGCCCAGTGTCCTCATTTGCATAAGGGCGTGACCGGTGACGGAGTCAGCATGAAGGCGGGGCCTCGGGGCCCTAATTAGCATGGGGCGGGGCCAGGGCGTCACCAGCTCATGGGGGCGGGTCTGGTGCTGGTTGCTCAGTCCCGGGTGCTTGTGGCTCAGTCCTGGTTCCCGGGTGCTCAGTGCTTAGGCCAGGTGCTTGGTGCAACGTGTTCAGTGCTCAGCACCGAGCACCCCGATCCCAGCACCCCGGGAGGACTGAGCACCCAGCACCCGAGGAAAGGCCCAAGGGCCCTCACGGCACCATCAGGAAGGACTGAGCCCCAGCACCCACGTGGAGGACTGAGCCCCAGCACCCTAGGCAGCCCCCGACCCCCCAGGCGCACCGAGCACCCCGCCCCCAGCACCCGCCCAGCACCCGGCGGTGCTGAGTCACCCAGGGCGCGGCCCCGCCCGGGTGAGTCACCGCCGCGGGGTCAGCTGGGGTCACGTGGGGGGGCGGGGGGTGCTGGGTGCTCAGTCCTGGGTGCTGGGTGCTCAGTGCTCTGTTCCGAGTGCTCGCGGCTCAGGCGCGGGGGCTCAGGGGAGTGGGGTGGGTGCTGGGTGCTGGGTGCCGGGTACTGGGAACTGAGTACGGGGTGCCGGGTGCTGGGTAACGGGTGCCCGGTTCTCCCCGAGGCTCGCCGCGGCCGGGATTGGCTCCCTGGGGCGTCCGTCTGCCGCGGTGACTGACAGGAGTCCCGCCCCTCCGGAAGTCCCGCCCCCTGCCTGGCGTCGCCTGCGGCGGGGCGGTCAGGGCGGCGTCGGGGGTCACTTCCGGTGATGCCGCGGGCGGAAGGGGCGGGGCTTCGGCCGTGACTGACAGGGAAGGAAGGGGCGGGAGACACAGCGGATGACTGACAGGGGGGGAAGGGGCGGGAACCACAGCTACGCGCTGGGCCGTGACGGACGGGAAGAGGCGGGGACTGAGCCTGTGATTGACAGGAGACCCTGTGCGCGGTGCGGAGCGAACGGCGGGCGAAGGGGCAGGGCTCCGCGGTGTGACTGACAGAGATGAGGGCGGGGACTAAGCCTGTGATTGACAGAAAACACTGCGCGCAGTGCCGGGGCGACCTGGGGACGCAGGGGCGGGGCTCCGGCGTGTGATTGACAGAGGAAGGTCCCGGCACCGGTCACTATTCCCGCGGACCGGAAGGGGCGGTTCCCATATCCATGACTGACAGCCACAGCCCGCATTGCTCTCTATATCCGCGGACCGGAAGGGGCGGCGACTATGTCTATGATTGACACCCACAGCCCGCACTGCGCAAATGAGCGGTGAATCGGAAGGGGCGGTGACTATGTCTAAGATTGACACCTGCAGCCGGACCGGAAGGGGCAGGGACGACATCCATGACTGACGCCCGCAGCCCGCACCGCTCTCTATTCCCGCTGACCGGAAGGGGCGGGGAACGGGCGGGTGACTGACATCCCCGCTCCGCAGTGCGCCCAGGGGTAGCGGACCGGAAGGGGCGGGGAACGCGCGGGTGACTGACATCCCCGCTCCCCAGTGCGCCCAGGGGCCGCGGACCGGAAGGGGAGGTTCCCATATCCTTGACTGACGCCCGCGGCCCGCAGTGCGTACAAGAGCCGCGGACCGGAAGGGGCGGCTCCCCGCGGCCGTGACGGACAGGTAGAGGAGTCCCCGACCTCTCCCCGGCCGTCCCCGCCCCTAACCCCGCCCCTCCCGGCCGTTTTCATCGCTAACCCCGCCCCTCCGCGGCTCACCCCGCCCCTCCCGGCCGTCCCCGCCCCCAGCCCCGTCAGCTCTGGTGCTCTGGAGAGGACTCCTTAGGC